AGGAGATCGAATTGAGCAATATAAGATGCTGAAGGGGATTGATAAAGTAGACGTAGAGAGGATGTTTCCACATGTGGGGCAATCTAGAATGAGAGGTCACAGATTTAGGATAAGGGGTGGCAGATTTAAAACAGAGATGTGGAAGAATTACTTCTCCCAAAGCATTGAGAGTTTGTGGAATTCACTCCCACAGAGTGCAGTGGATGCTGGGATATTGAGTAAATTTAAGGAGGAGATAGACAGATTTTTGATTAGTAATGAGTTGAAGGGTTATGGAGAATGGGCAGGAAAGTGGAGATGAGATTAGCCATGATCATATTAAAGGGTGGAGCAGGCTTGAAGGGCTGAATGGCCTACTCCTGCTCCTTGTTCTTATGTTTGTTCTTATGCAGAAACTTTTGGACAGTCTAAGGTTGTGACAGGTGCTGTAGAAATTCAAGCCTTGGCTTCCATCCATTGACTCTTTTACACTAGCTCTGTGTGATGGATCCCAAGTGGAAGGTGAAATTGAAGAAATGAGCAAAAAACATTCCCTGATGACTCAGAGGAAACAAGCACACCCAGCTGGGGCACGAAGCCTGTGCTTCCATGGCCTGGGGATAGGGTTCCCCCTCTCCTTATGGGTGGGTTTTGGGCGATACATGGTCAGGAGGGAAGTGAAGGAAGACAGCAATCAGAGGACCAACAATGGGCTTCAGTGTCCCTGGACTAGAAAGAGCGAAGTATCTGCCTGGGTTCCCCTACACCTTACCTGCTGACTGACTCCAGGGAGCAGAGGTTGGATATGTTAAAAATTGCTCATGGTGGGCTGTGGACATCACTGAATGGGCCAGCATTTATTGTTCACTGCTAAATGCCCTTGAGAGGTTGGCAGTGAGCCACCCTATTGTACCATTGCAGTCCATGGTATAGGTACACCTACACTGCTGTTAAGGATAATGAGGTCAGGATTGGTGGTGATAGATACCCACAGAAACACAGAAAATAGGAACAGGAGTAGGCCTTTCGGCCCTTTGAGCCTGCTGCATTCCATGGAAAAATAGTGCACCCAAGACACTACCATCGGCAGAAGAGCAGCAAAGCGTGTGCTTGACTAAAATAGACTCTTCCTCTGATAAGTAATCATTCCATAGGAATTTACAGGAGAACATTTGGCTTATGGTACCTGCATAAACTATCAAATCCTGTCTTCTTTTCCATAGCAGTGATTTTATTTTCAGAATTTATCAGTTTTCCCCTTGAAAATTACAATTGAATTTGCTTCCACTACATTTTCAGGCAGTGCATTCCAGGCCATAACAAACACAGATCTCCCACATTGGCTTTTCTTCGTTCGCTGCCCCATCCTGACTCACCTATCACTGAAAATAGTTTCCCTTATTTAGTCTATCAGAAAAAGTACATACTCTCAAAGATCCATTTCTTTTCAAAGTAGTAACAAACACAAAATCTCTTCATGTCTCAGTTGCAGAGAAATAATCTTTGGGCATCTTTGATTGCCTCAAGTCGAGATTATGTGAGCTGATTATCACAGGAGCTGATAAAGGATTGATAGAGCACAGCTCAGTTCTAGAAAAACATATTGACTCAGCCTTCTGCATTAATGAACTTGACTTGCAACATGCTAGAACACTGGTGATGTTGCGTGTTCTCGAACATAGAAAATAGGTGCAGGAGTAGGACATTCTGCTCTTTCAGCCTGCTCCACCATTCAATATGATCATGGCTGATCATCCAACTAATTCCTCAGTTCCCACTTTCTCCCCATTTGAGCCGTTTTGCACTAAGAACTATATCTAACTCCTTTTTGAAAACATTCAATGTTTTTATCTCAATTCTTTTCTGTGGTAGGGAATTCCACAGGCTCACCACTCTCTGGGTGAAGACATTTCTCCTCATCCCAGTCCTAAACGGCCTACTTCATTTCCTTAGGCTGCTAGCCCTGGTTCTGGACTCTCCAATCATTGAGAACATCCTTCTTGTGTTTACTCTGTCTAATCCTGTTACAATTTTATCGGTTTCTTTGAGAACTCTCTCCACCTCATTCCTCTAAACTCCAGTGAACATAGTCCTAACCAATCCAGTGTCTCTTCATTTATCAGTCCTGCCATTCCAGGAATCAGTCTGGTAAAGTTTCACTGTACTACTCTATTGCCAGAACATCCTTCCTCAGATAAGGAGACCAAAACTACAGACGGTACTCCAGGTGAGATCTCACCAAAGCCCTGTAAAATTGCAGCAAGACTTTTCTACTCCTGTAGCAATCTAAGTCTGATGATTCAGCCAATTATTTATTTTGTCGGAGAGTCCCTGAATGCTTCACAGACAATTAAGTACTTTAAATGTAGTTGCAGGCATAATAAGAGACGCTGGTGTTGTGGTGGTACTGTCACTAGACTAGCAATACATTGGCTCTATCTAATGCTCTGGGGCATGGGTTCAAATTTCACCATTGCAGAGAGTAGAATTTGAATTTAATAATTTTAAAATGAAGAAAGATCTGAAATAAAAAGCTTGCGCGATAGTGGCCATATAACCACTGTCAATTGTTGTAAAAACCCAGCTGGTTCACTCAGAAAATTTGCCTTCCTTACCCTGTCTGGCCAATCAGCGTCTCTAGACCCAAAGCAAAGTGGTTGAATCTTCCTGACATCCCATGAACAAACATTTTCAAAAATGTAGGAAATGAAGCAGCCAATATGGTCACAGCCATTCCACACAAAAAAACAACAATGTGAAATGAGGTTAATTAATCTGTTTTTAGTTCGGTTTATTGAGTCCTAGACACTGAGAAGGCCTAGTGGTTGTGGATGTTGGTGTGTTCGCTGTGATGGGAGGTTTGATAGCAGATGTTTTGTCCCGTTACTAGCTAACATCCTCAGTGCTGTGGAGCTTCCTGTGGAGCTTCCTGAACATCAACATCTACGACCAGCACCCAAGCTACAGATCTTCACTCAAACCCTGATGGCCTAGTGGTATTATTGCTGGACTGTTAATTTGGAGACCCAGATAACATTCTGGGGACCCGGGATCAAATCCTGCCATAGCAGATGGCCGAATTTGAATTCAATAAATATCTGGAATAAAGGATGACTGTGAGTCCATTGTCGATTGTTGGAAAAACCCATCTGGTTCATTAATGTCCTTTAGGGAAGGAAACTGCCATCCTTACCTGGTCTGGCCTACATGTGACTCCAGACCCACAGCAATGTGGTTGACTCTGAACTGCCCTCTGGGCAATTAGAGATGGACAATAAATGTTACCTAGTCAGTGGCGTCCTCATCCTATTAATGAATATAGAACTGCCCTGCTTTTTATCAAAAATAGTTGCAGTGGGATCTTTGACATCCACCAATAGGGGAAATACAGCCTCAATTTAATATCTTGAACAAACCTTTGTGCGGCACCCCTTTGGTATTAACACCTGTCCTAACATCTGCTTCAGCAGTTCAACATCACAATTTGTTGAAAATGCTCGTGTGAAGTATCTGAGGACACTTTACATAAGAATATTAACAACATCAGGTGTACACCATCAATACTCTGCCATTCAGTAAGAGCATGGCTAATTTTCTACCTCAGCTCCACCTTATCCCCAGATATTTAATCTCCTAAATGGCCAGGAATCTATCGAGCTCAGTTTTGAATATACTTAATAGTTAATATCAATATCCACAGTTCTCTGGTGTCGAAATTTCCAAACATTCACAGCCCTCTGATTAAAGAGAATCCTCCTGACCTTAGTCCTTAAATCTGAGATTACAGCCTGTAATTGGGAATGGCCTTTGTGGCTCACTGGTTGTGTCCCTGCGGCCAGAGGCCCAAATCCAAGTCCCACCAACTCCAAAGGTGTGTCACAATATGGCTCCCCATAGCCTTCACAAGAGCAGCAACTTCACAATGCGCAATAAATGTTGGATAGACAGCGAAGCCTGTGTCCCATGAGTGCAGAAAATAATATCTGAACCGGTCGTCTCGAATTATCTACAGTCTCTAGCTTCAGGCTTTGAAGCCAGTGTGAAACAGCCTGTAAGTACTTTCCAATTCATGGGAACAGGAGGAGGCCATTCAACGTCTTGAGCTTGTTCCACTATTTAATGAGATCATGGGTGATCTGTGACCTAACTCCATATACATCTGCCTTTGGCCCATATCCGGTAATACCTTTGTTTAACAAAACTGTATCTTTCTCAAATTTATAACTAACAACTGATCCAGCATCCCCTGCCATTTGTGGAAGACAGTTACAAACCTTGCCCACCCTTTGTGCGTGAAAGTTCTTCCTAACATCTCCCCTGAACAGTCTGGCCTTAATTCTCAGACTATGTCCCCCTGACTCTAGCATTCCCAACAAGTGGAAGTATTTTATCTTTATCTACCCTGTCATTTTTGGTTTATATCTTGAAGACTTCGATCAGAACACCCTGAACCTTCTAAATTCTAGGGAAAGCAGGCTGAATATGTATAATCTCTCCTCATAACTTACCCTTGAAGTCCAGGGATCATTCTTGTAAACCTATGTTGTATTTCCTCCAAGGCCAATACATCCCTCCCAAGCCCACATCTGGTCACAGTACACCCATTGGGCTCTAACCAGGGCTTTGTATAACTGCTGCATAACTTTTCATCCTTATACTCTAGTCATTCAAGATATAAAGGCCAGCATTCCATTAGCCTTGTTGACTATTTTCTCTGATGTGAGGTACCTTCAGGTGACAAAGGGGCAGTGTTTCAAAAGCTTGTGATTTTAAATAAACCTGGTGGACTATAACCTGGTTTCGTGTGGCTTCTAACCTTCATTATTTTCTAAGTTGAGCCCTCCAAGAATTTTACACATTTTAATCCCGCCTTTCATTTTTCTAGCCATCCCACAAGAAAAAGTCATTCTATTTGCACTCACCTGATAGGACAACCGTCTCTCAGGAATTGGCCTGCTGGTCCTAAAGGTGCTACATAAATGCAAGTTGTTGATGAGTCAGACACCTGAAGGGGCACTCACCTGGCTTCCTTCTTTCTGCCAGAAGACTGCAGGCTGAGGGTTTCCTTTGGTCTCACAGGGGAAGGTGATTGTCCGTCCTTGAGCCACGATCTGGTCTCTCGGCCTCACCACAAACTGGGGGGCAGCTGGAGGGGGTGGTCCAAGCAGACGATATGTCAGAGAGCAGAGAACAGGGTGAGTGCCTTTACAGAAAGCTTTCCACTTCGCTGTCAGAGGCCAAAGGTCCTTCCTCACGTTTACACGCAAAGATTTATTGAGTCGACCCGCTGTCTCGCCTTTCAGAAAGATGATTTGTTGATGTGCAATTTTTGTGGCGTTTTTTTAATCTATCTCCTCCCCACACACATTCCCAGAAATTAGGCTTTGGGAACCTGAGTGAATCCTACATGTCACTCATTCCTAGCTCAATGGCCTTCTCCATTTGGGAGCCAACTTATTCAGTTAGGGTCCTGCGAGTGAATTCCACCTTCACCTATCAGCCAATATTTTCCAAAAATGGAGTCCATAAATGTGGAGTTGCAAAAGCACAGCAGGTCAGACAGCATTGGAGGAGCACGTAAGACAATGTTTTGGGCCATAAACCTTTGTAAGGACTGTCGACGAAGGGTTTCGGCCCAAAACGTTGACTTCCCCGCTCCATGGATGCTGTCTCACCTGCTGTGCTTTTCCAGCTCCACATGTGTTTGACTCTGACATCCAGCATCTGTAGTCCTTACTGTCTCCACTTTCCAAAATGGATCTCTGGACAGTGATCAGGAGCAGGAACCCTGGCTGATTCCACCCTCCTCTCTTTGTCTCTGTCTCTCTAACCTCAGGATCACAGGGCAGTGATCAGGAGCAGGATCCCAGGCTGATTTCTCTTTCTCTCTAACACAGGGATCACTGGGCAATAATCAGAAGAAGCACGAACCTTAGCTGATCTCTTCCTTAATCTCAGGGCTTGTTACAGTCAGTTACAGATAATGTCTCTTCAATATCCTTTGTTTATCTTTCAGTTTGTTCAGTTAATGCTGGTCATATTAACAGCCTGATGTGGCTGACATCATTTGCTCAATCTAACAGAGCATAAGGGCTGGATTGCCATCAGCAGAAATACAGGAATGTCAGAGTACAACAGTCAGTGCTCTTTCATCTACTGGAGCCTGTTAACCCATCACCTTCACACTGTTGGATTCTCAGCGTCTATCAGCGCATCATGTTGAAAGTACGGTATGTCTCAGGACTATAACTATCAAATTATATTGAAAATTCATGGTCATTATCAAAATGATTGGAACTGCATGAAGACCATAAAACCCTCTTGATAAAAAGAGTCCCTGATGGGGAGACTGGTCCCTGATGGGGAGACTGAGTCTGTAAAAGTGGTCCCTGCTGGGAAACTCTCTCTATAAAAGGGGTTCCTGATGGGGAGACTCCCTCTATAAAAGGGGTCCCTGATGTCAAAATTCCCTTTGTAATATATGCAGGGTTAACAAATGGATGATGTGAGCATTAGCTGCAGAAGTGTTTTGATTTATACACGCAGAATAACGACAATAAAAATGCAGAAAACTCGCCAGGATCTGCAAAATCCCTGGAAAAAAAAGACTGGATTACAACATGCAGAAATTCAAAGCACAAATTGGTCCCAGTCCACATACCCAACACTCATGCCAAGTCACCCACTGCTTCTGTTAATGTTATCAAAACACGATAGTTCAGCACAATCTAAAATAATGTGCAGGGCCCAGCATGCATGGGCGAGGCTGATAAAACATATTCACACAGAGCCACGCACAAGCATCTGAATTAAGCTCAGTGATAGCTGAAGCCAAGCAAGCATGGGCAGAGAGAGAGAGAGAGAGAGAAGGCAATTAAACACTGGGCGGCCCAGACCATCTTAGCAATTCAGCGCATAAAGGATCTGGGACAATCTTATCATGGGTTGCTAAATGAGCTTGGATTTCTGTCAAGAGATGCCACATTCAGCAAGGGAGAAGCTCAGCTTTGCTCAAATGTAACAACACGGTTGCAAGGAATAGCAGGATCGGACGTGACTGGAGGCACATCAAGTCAGCTTTGAGGAGAGACACTTTGGGACACACACGATTTTAACACATTCCACGTTCACCTTTACTTCCAGAGCAGTAAATGCACAAACAGCCACAAGGCACAAAAGAGCACATAGCATTTTATTTCTCACTTGTCCTTTCATCTCCTTTGTGTCATCCTCCACTTCTCAGATTTCCCTCACCCTGTTACTTGCTGAGAACTGAATCTCACTCTTGAACAGCTGAATGGAGACTTCACCCAAATTGGAGCTCAGATGGTTGATGTTACCAAAATACTGTACCACTGGGGGTAATACACACACACACATATGTACACACACACACGTGCACACACACGCACATGTGCACGTGTATGAACACACACTCATTGTTCTGTCGCTCACACACACACTAATTATGCATAGACACACACACACACAACTCATGCATAGACACACACACATACAACTCATGCATAGACACACACACATACAACTCATGCATACACACACACACACACACACACACACATACTACTCATGCATACACACACACACACTACTCATGCATACACACACACACACACATACACATACACACACACACACTACTCATGCATACACACACACAGGCCCTCTGTCTCTCTCTGTCTCTCACACAAACACATATCGACACACAAAAACAGACACACGCGCACACACAGGTATACAGATGCACATACATGTATGCAGACACACAGTCAGAAACACACACTCATGTACACACACATGTACACAGGCACAAGCACACACAAATGTACACAGACACACATGTATACAGACTCATGCACACACACATGCGCATGCACATACGCACAACATGTACACCGACTCACACACACACATGTGCACGTACACACACACAAATAGACATAGACACACAATTCCAATTTGCTTCACTCCACCATTGATTTACAATTTTGAAATATCACAACCTGCCACCTTTAAGACACTCTGTTAAATCTATCTCTTTTGATCATCTCATCTCTGAAGCTCAGAGTCAAACTGACATCTGAAAAGGCAGTGAAATGTAGCAGCAGAAGACGGCCATTTAGCCCATCGAGTCTGCCCCACCATTGAATGAAATTGTGGCTGATCTGATCACGCTCAACTCCACTTTCCTGCTTTTTCCCACTTTGCTGACCCTCCGCAGTGAGAAACCAGCAAGACTCCCAGCCACTGGGAGACTCCTGCTCAGGCTCACATTCTGATCCTATCCTGTAACATACTGGGTGCTTGGTATTCTGTTCTGCTCTGTCCTTGGTCTTAAAACAAAGAGTCTAACATCCTTCAAAAGACTTGTTTGGCAATTAGGGATAGAGAGGCCATTTGGCCCATAACATCGTAAGATATAGGAGCAGAATTAGGCTATTCGCTCCCATAGTCTGCTCTGCTATTTGTTCATGGCTGATATGTTCCACATCCCCGTTCTCCTGCCTTCTCCCCATAACCTTTATCTACTTACTCATCAAGAACCTACTTCTGTCTTAAATACACACAACGATTTGGCCTCCGTAGCTTCTCAGTTCTAATGGGTTGTCTCTTCACTCTGGGGCTGTGCCCAACCTACTTACTCACTCAGGACGACCTCTGCCCCACATTGCAGCATCTGGTTATTTCTTAAAAGCACCAAGAACATTGCCTCTGTCACTCTAACTAATGCTAATAGGGTTGATTATGGTGTGTATCAGAGATTGCTAATAACATGTCTCCATTTACCTTATGCCAATCTGAATGAGACCTATTGTTGTAATTACATTTTAAGCAATAATCTAAGTTGATCCCAACAATATCTTAGAAACCTGTAAGGTCTGTGCTCAGGGACCTCTTTCCTTGCTGCAAAGCCATAAAAAGAATTTAGCTCCTTCTTGTCATACTGACACCTGGCAACAACTTGCATTCAAATAGCAACTTTAAAGCTGTGAAACTTTCCAAGGGGTTTCCCGGGAGTGTTATTGGATACAAATTTGGCACCAAGCCACATAAAGGGGGGATGAAGGTAGACAAACAGGAGTCTGGAAGAACGCAGCAAGCCAGGCAGCATCTGGAGGTAAGGAGCAGTCAATGTTTCGGGTATTACCCTTCTTCAGGACTGGATGTGGGGTTAGGGGGAGCTGCAGATAAAGAGAGTGGGGAGGGGTGGAGGTGAAATGGTGGTGATAGGTAGACACTGGTGGAAGGTACGACCTGGTTGGTTGACGGGAGGGATGAATCCGGTTGGTGGCTGGAAGGGAGGGTCAGAGGTGGAATGGAAGGGAGGAGGTGGGGCTGGAAAGGGAGGTGGGGAATGGGTGGAAAGGTTATTGTCTACCTTGGATTCCAGCATCTGCAGTTTTTTTTTGTCTCTAAAGGAGGGATCAAGAAAGTGACCAGAAGCTTGGCAAAAGTGGCAGGTTTGAAGGAGTGTTTTAAAGGCGGAGAGATGTGAATTAAGGGAGAGGGCTTGGGTGACTGAAGGCCCAGCCATCATTGGGGAAATGATGAAGGTTGAGGACATGGGAGAGACCAGAGTTGCAGGAGTGCAGCCATCCAGAGAGCTGGGTGGAGGTTGTCAAGGGCAATGGAAGATTGCCTTTGTGTTTCTGATCAAAGTGACCATCCTTGGTGAATGTCATATTCAGCTGCAGCAGGCATCACAAATCCTGGCTTCCCGTCGATATTTCAGGGGCTTTCGGACTTTCCCACATAGATTAGAAGCAGAAAAGGCCTGGCCAGTGTGCTCCTACCCTCTAACTACCTCACTGAAAGCCCCCTTCCTCACCCGTCACCATCCTTCTGTCCCAGTCCCTCAACTGAGGCTAACAGAATGGTCCTTCTGCTGTTGTAGCCCTTGACTGGAATCTGCCAACTGAGGACAGAAGCGAGCCCCTATTCTCTAATGGAACAAGTAGAGTTTGATCCCTCGGCTGTACTATAGATTGTTGTCTTTTAATCACCTATATACATGGAATGTTGGACAGTATTGAGGAGAACAACTGTCCCTTTCAACCTCTGATTTTTCTTTAAATGGCTGCGTGGCTTTTTTTTGATTTGAAGCTTTAATGATTTATTGAAGTC